TTGTCTTTCCATTGATTTTTCACATTCATGCATATTGGTAATGACATGACTAATTGCTTACATCACTGCTGTATTACTACTTGCGCTATCCCGGTTCCCAGTAATTGAAAAGCTTTCCTGCATTATTAAATGGCCAATTGAGGACTTCTAAACTGTTGCTCTGTTTGGTTTGTGCCTGTAAAGTGCTTTCAAAAAGCAAGAACTGCAGGGATTCTATTTTGATACCTACAGCAGTGAGGTTAATTTTCTCATCCATCAGCCAAACTACTCTGTGGTGACAGAGGATCGGGAGTGCCTACTGAGTTAAAATAGCAAATTACTTACAAGTATCTAATTCTGTATTCTGTCTGTTGTAAATCAGGCAAATCTTCAAACAGTTTCTCACCAATCGTGTTCTGAAGGATCCGAAACAAAGACGGTTCTTCAAGTCTAATGACGTCTATGAGCTCTTCACTCTAGCTGACCCTGATAAAGCTCAGGGGACTGAGACCAGTGCCATATTTGCAGGTCTGCAGATTTTCCTTTTTGTTTGTTTGTGCATTTTGTTCCCACCAGAGAAACATTTAATTGAGCACGTACCTGAGTCTTTTTCAAAAATAGGTGTGAGAGAATTCACCTGACAAGTTTTGTTTTTATCCACAAACAGGTACAGGCTCTGATGTCAAAGCACCCAAGAAACCTCACAGGCCAAAGCCATCACACACTGTAAACCATGGCAGCCATGCACATAAATACTCCTCAGCAAACTTGAATCAAACAGGCGCAGACAGCAAGCACTCCTCGACAGACATCCCTGCAAGAGATGGAAACGCCTCTCCATGCGGTAAACTAAATATCCCGATGGACAGTCAAAGCACCAACCAAAACGGTGTGGATGTTGTGCCAAATATTTCAGCAAATATACAGAATACAGGACAAAATAATAACAGAAACTGGGATGCAGCCAAACCAGCACACAAAAATTCAAACTCACCAAGCTATAGCCAACATAGGGACAAAGACTCTGCCCTGACTAGTCCACAGAAACACAGAGAAAAAAGAAAGCACTGTGACTCAGCTGACCTGGACAAACATAAACAGAAGAAACGCAAACACTCCCACGATGCTAGATTCGAGGGCCGCCGCATCTCTCATTTAGTAAAGAAAAGGACCTATAACAAGGCAGACAGCGAAGAAAACACAACAGAGGACCAGGAAAAATCAGATGATTACGTCTTGGCGAAGCTCTTCAAGAAGTCCGGTAGGCTTTTTTAACCCCATCTGTAATATCTGACATGTTTTTTCAGTAAGTCTCCTGAAACCGGAAGCTGCTTTGTTGATGTTTTTCATGATCTTGTTCAGGTATCCACAGCGTGATGCAGCATGACACCATCATGGAGTCATCCAACCCTGACTATGTTCTTGTGGAGGCAGAAGCCAACAGGGTGGCTAAAGATGCCCTTAAAGCTCTAAAGGTTTCTCGGCAGCAGTGCAGGCTTCCCTTCAATAAACCACCTCCTCCTCCTGCAAGGTACGTAGGCTCACACTGACACACTGAGCTTCATTTACCTCATTCAAAACAAATATCATAATTTTTCTCCTTTTTGGCTCTGTCAGGAAACGTTTTGGACAAAAGAAGAATTCTCTCTTAGTTTCACCTTCTGCTCCGTCTGTCCCCACTCCGAGCAAATGCAAGGTAACTGCAGTGTTCATATGAAATTACATAAGTTATGGCAGGCATTTAGAATTTGTGTTGCCATGTTGTGTATATTAATTGATTTCTCTGTTTAGGATGCTGAGATTGTAAAGCAGTCTGTGTCAAAGAAACCTGGTTCAGGAGCTCATTTCAGCGGAGAGGCAGGAGATAGTGACTCAAACTCCGCCCCACTGTCCTCCTCCTCTTTGCTGGCCAAGATGAAAGCCCGTAATCACCTCAACATACCCTCCAGACACAGAGACGAAGAAGAAGAGGAGGCGGAGGAGGAGGGTGGCTCCGTAGCTCCAGGAACGAGCCTCCCTCCTGCTCCGCCCACAGAGCATGACGAGCTGCTGGTGGATCTGCGCAACTTCGTGGCCTTCCAGGCGAATGTGGACGGACAGGCCACCACCCAGGAAGTACTGGAGTACTTTAAACCAAGACTGACCCAGGAGCAGGCGCCTGTCTTCAGAGAGCTGCTCAGGAGCATCTGTGACTTTCATAGGACCTCTGGTCAGGAGGGCACCTGGAAACTGAAGCAGCACTTTCGCTGAGAGAAGTGTTGACGAAAGCAGAGGAATGACTATTAGCTGTGATTCATATTTGAATACTTATCTACTGGTCTGTCAAGATCAAGCCCACAATATCTTTATGTTAACTTGTTTTTGTTACTGTTTGTTGTCTTCTGTCAATGTGAGATATCTGTCTGATACACACAAAATCAAAATGGATAATTTAACATCATTACAGTTTGTTCTGGGAGGACCATATATTAGAAAAGCCATTTTGCTGTACAATGGAGTATTGGGTTTACTGATAAAGTAATACATTATCAGCTAATTATCAGTTAACTACGCTTTGAAGGGTAATTCTTTTCCACTGTCTAATTTATTTCTGCTGCAATGTGAGTTGATTTGAGTTTTGGGCTTGTTTGTTCAAGCATTATTGCAATTTCTTCCATTTCGGTTCATTGTTTGCACCTGATTATACTTGAATTCTTTTGTTTTTTGTCTGCTGGAAAGTAATGGCAATGCTCAGAGATATGTGTTCTTTGCTTCTAAAATGTGTAATGTAACAGCCTCACTTGGTCCGATTTTGTACTGTACTTTTATAAAGTTTAATCGGGGAGTAGAGTGTCATTTTGTAAATAAGAACTCACCGTAGGGTTTGTTAGATTTTGTAATGACTGACTTTTCCGGTACACTGTGGAGGTGGGATTGTGTTAGTTCAAAATATGTTGGAATAAGCTACGTCAATTATATGTGATAAATTGACCAAAAAAAATGTTAATTGGTCGCAATGTTTTATAGAAAAAAAAAATGTGATGCATTGTCTTGCATATATTGTTTGCAATAAACCTCTGTAACAGCCTGCTTTTTCCTGTTAGGTTATTTAAATGGACAGAGAAGTAAAGGAAGACTGACTGAATTAATCCAAGTAAAAAAAAAAACAATTGTACTTCACAGTGCAGGTTACCAAGGAAACAATGGACAATTTAGGACCTTCTTTCACAGTTTATGGTGCATTTCCATATTCACTGCTAGAATGCTGGTAAATATTGAGATTTTGAAATAATTTCATGTATTACAATTTCATATATTTTAAGATCAGAGTGTTCTATAGATAATTTCTCATTTTCTTTCCCTCAGGTGTGACTGAAGTGTGGCGCTGACCAGGGTCCTGAAATGTGTTCCGGCTGATAACTGAAGAAACCATGTAGGCCTAAATATGGCACTCAACATCTACAAAATCTAGTTAAAGTTTAGATGTAAAATCGTCTCTACTGTGGAAATGAGAGAGTGGTTTCATTTAGTTATTTAGGCAATAATCAGAGGAAGGAGAGGAAAGGCGCTGACAGGAGGCAGAGACACTTCAGGCCCGCACTCTTGTCAGAGTTGTCTAGACCAAATATTGGGATAAAGTTATCAACCGTTATTTGATTTCAATTTTCTCCACGCACCTCGCCGAGGTCATAATAACAACTTTATTTTCAGTGGTGCATAAATTAATTACGCGCATTTAATAACTAAAATATCATTATATTCCCCCTTTAATAACATAAACGCTGCACGCCAGGGAAACCCTTAATAGCGCGGGGCCCTGTAACTGGCCATTATCCGCCTGTAATGATATTACAGAACCAATTACGCGCCATTAGAAGGGATTTTCTGCACTTTATGTGGTTTAGTCCAATCCCGCACTCCTCTTCTAAATTTCAGCTGCTTCTCGAAGCCTCATTTTGCTTCCACCTCAGAGACGCATGGCGTCTGCGCTCTGCCGTCCCAGATGCGCTTTAAAACTAATTGAAAGGGTCCCGCAGCAGATCATTTATCTGAGGAAGCGAAATAAATCGCAGGACCCCTTGCTGTGAACAAAATCAAAAATTTGGCCTTGTGAGTGTTCTACATGCGCAACCCCTTGTAAAGTGGACCCCCTAACACACCCTGACGAGCAATTAACCCACCCGACAGTCAATCTAAAACCCAAAAGCAGTCATCCTCCTTTTTTTAATATATGAAAGAACCAAATAAAAAGTGCAGCGGGTATGTGTGCATGTTTATGGTTAGGGAATATGCTTGACTCTGGAATAACAATCACTTGTGATGAATTTTTTTGGCACCAGAGCAGAGCTGCCGTTTGCCACCCTGGGCATGTCTCCCCTCTCTCTTCTCTTTTCTTTCTTTCTCCAGTCCTTTCTTTCTGTCTTTCTCTGACACGCACACACACACACACACACACACACACCAGGGGTTTGGGGTGAGAGAGACAAAGCCGTGATAATCCGATTAGGACCAATTAGGCGTGAGATTCTGCGACACTAGCTGAAAGCCTTAACACTCTGTAGACAGTTATACAGTTATAGAGACATCTGGACACTCCCAGAGAGAAACAGAGGGAGAGAGATGTGAGTGTGTGTGTGTGTGTGTGTGTGTGTGTGTGTGTGTGTGTGTGTGTGGGAGAGAGAAAGATGGGCGAGAGAGGGAGGAAGAGAGAGAGTGAGAGAGAGAGAGATCTGGACACTCCCAGACAGAGAGTCAGAGAGTCAGTGGAAGTGCAGCAGCCACTTCTCTCCAGAGCGCGAACTCACTCACATCAGCATCCTCACTGCAGGTAGGATGCTCCGTCTCTCTCTCTCTCTCTCTCCCTCTCATCAACTTAATCCCTCCACCTCTTTCTCAGGACGGTTTCACGTGTTTGTTTTATTATTATTTTTTACATCACAGATCCGAGTCACACCGTCGCTGCCGCAGCCGATCTTAATCTTTGGGTTTAAACTTTTGTCTGTGTTCCAGGTTTCAGCTTCGCAGCTCCGAGACGCGCCAGCATGTTCTACTTTCACTGTCCGCCTCAGCTGGACGGAGAGTGCTGTCGCTCCAACACATGTGAGTTTTCTGTCTTGGCTTTTATTTACACCCTCCTTTCCATTTGATTTAATTCAGTTTTCTGATTTCCTAAAGCTGAAAAGTTTGGTGATGTTTAGAGAGCGAGGTTTGTGCGCACCAAGTGTGTGTGTGTGTTGTTGTTGTTGGAGACCCGAGAACAGGCCTGACTGGATGTCTTCTTTTTTTTCTCCAAAGATATTTTACGATTATTTTTATTTTACAACTAAAATAATAGGCCTATAAAAGCAAAATTACCCTTTTGTAAATTAATAGCGCGTCACGCTGTAATCCACAGTCTTTAATCTACATAACAACACTATAAAAACAGACGTTTTCGCTTCTTGATCATTTTTTTAATTTATTTTTTTTACTTGACTGGGTTGGTTGATCAACGAACGCATCTCCACAAAAATTTCCATCAGTCTAAAGCAACGCGTGTTTTGCTTTTCCTATTAATTTACAAACTGGATGTACAGGCTTAAGTGTGCTCTTCCCTCTGTTGTGTCAGTCTGCTGGCAGTTTTTTGGTGAGGAGCGCTGGTGGTTTGGCCCCGGGGCAGAGGGGGCGTTTTGTCCCGGGCACAGATGTTGGGTGTCATGGCTCTTAGTCCGTCATGGTTCCCCTCAGACACCCAACATCAATGTTTCATGCAGCTAATGGAAACACAAAATGTGTCTCCCTTTGCCAGTGTTTAGATTTTTTACTGTTTTTAAAGACCTCCAAGAAATCCAAGTTTTCTTTTCACATTTATACTAAATATAAATTATTAACCTGAAATATTTTTTTTATAATCAGATCAAACAACCTCTCTATAATAAACTTCTTCTTTTCTTGTTGTTGTTTTTATTTTCCTTTTCAGTGAATTCAGGCGGCTTTGGCAGCCACGCCCCGACTGATTTTGATGATGGATTTCTACGTAGGAAACAGCGCAGAAACAGAACCACATTTACTTTGCAACAGGTAATTATTTTCCAGGACAACAATCATAAAAAACAAGGGGAACAAGAAATGGGCCTATCCTAAACTTCAGTGGAAGAAAAACACACGTGGGGAGCTGCTTTATTGAATAAAAAGTTGGCCAAGTTTTCAACATTTATCACCTTGGTCAGAGAGCTGTGCCTTTCAGATAGTAACTAAAAATAAAAGAAAGAAATTAAGGCCTGTGTCAGTAATTTGATATTAACCAAAAAGGCAATGCTTCAAATATATGACAATACAAATATAAGACTAGAAAATCTTCTCTTTAAAAAAAAATAAACAGTAGAAGGTTGTGCGTGGGCATGGATGAAAATTGCTCTCATTACGCACTGCAGGTAATTTGATATTAAACCAGTTTTGAGCTTTATTGTGGATTATTTTAATGTTTTTTCATCTAATAGTGTTAACATTAAGGGAAAGAAAGAAAGAAAGAAAGAAAGAAAGAAAGAAAGAAAGAAAGAAAGAAAGAAAGAAAGAAAGAGAAAGTCAGCAAATTGAAATACGCAAATAAATCAATCAATTGCAAATCATGTGGTGTTTCTTCGTGTCCATGCAGTTGGAGGCTTTGGAGGCTGTGTTCGCCCAGACTCACTACCCGGACGTGTTCACCCGGGAGGAGCTGGCCATGAAGATCAACCTGACCGAGGCCAGGGTGCAGGTAGGCTGCAGCGATGTATCGTGTCCTTCCATGGGCACGTTTGACCATGCAAGAGAGGGTAAATTAAGCCACTCTGTCATTCCGGCGATGCACTTTAATAACATCAACATAATGGTGAATATTAGATTAGCTTGATTAATCGGTCATTCATAATTAACCAGCGATAATGTTCTTCACTAATTTGTCCGCGTCTCAGAGGTAGGAATACATCATCCATGCAGATCCCTTTCGCGTTACGCACACAGAAAGCGATGTGTGTGTGTGTGTGTGTGTTTTTGTACTTAAAAAAAAAGAGGCAAAGTCTGTATCGCCTCAAAACTCTCTCTCTCTCTCTCTACCTCTCCGACACACACACACACACACTTACACACTTTTAAAAAACACACACGCACCTTAAATTTGGCAATTTATATTCCGCTCCTGCCCTGCACATATGCGCGGTTATAAACTTGGCCAGATGTAATTAAGTTATGTGTCCTGTATGTAATTTCCTGCATTCCAGATTTGCTTTTGGGTTTTGTTGTGCGCGCAGATCTAATTGTGGGAAATATAATAGTTTGCCTTTTGTTCCCCAGGGTCATCTTACTATCGCTTAAACCCAATGGCGGGGTTGATAATGGAATCCAGCGCTGTAAATTAGGGATTGTAAACAAATTATTCCCCTCCTAATCCGATTACCACATTCCTATTATTAAATCTGAACATGAATCCACCGCAGTATGCAGGGGATATTAAACTTACATTATTATTAGAAAATAAATTTCCTTTCTCTTGTAGTGTTGTTGCCCCCCTTTTTGTAAAGTGTCAATGGGCCTCCCCCGCATTAAGAGCACGCAGCAAATTGAGATTAATGGAGCAATTATAGCCCATTCAGAGATGGGTGTGTGTGGGGGGGCGCGACTTCTAGCTGGAAGGTGCAGGGGTGAGATAAGTCCATTGGTTGCATTGTTGTCCTGCCACCAAAATGTTGTCCTTTTCTTTATGCCGAATGAATGCATGTGTTTTGTTTGGCTGTTGACATCATTTATACCCCCGGTACAATAGGAGGAGATGCAGAGCACATGCACACCGACTCTAACCTCCATTCACACATCATGATTAATGCCTGCTAGAACCAAGTCCTAATCGAATCTGATGTTGTCAAACAATCACTAAATAGGGAAATAAACGACTTCATCATAGCTGCCTCTCTCTCGGGCAGCACAACTGTCAGTGGGAAGTCATTAAAATATGATAATGAAAAATTGCTCAATTAAATGTTGTTATAGGCAGTGACCTTCATTCGATTAAGATAGCAGAACTTGGCTATATGTTTCTCAGCTGTGTGGATGGTGAAGTTTTGGGGAGAAGTCAGGGACTGTGGGAAATTAGAGCGCTGGTGTGACAGATTCAAACACCTCTTGATATACATGACAGAAGCAGAGCATTTGCCACAAGACAGAAAACTCATGACAAGTTTTTGTCTGTGATGAGCCAAAAGAAAGAGCAGGCAAAATTAAAACTCGATAGGCAAAAAAAAAAATTGGCAAGGATACACAGCAGCATTCAGTGAATCTGAATAAATTGATTAAAGCTGCTTGTATGTCAGTTTTAATTAAGTGATTTCATTCATTTGTTTTGCTTTTTGTCATCTGTTTTTTTTCTTTTTTTTCAAATGCAGGTTTGGTTTCAGAACCGCAGAGCAAAGTGGAGGAAGACGGAGCGAGGGAGCTCAGACCCGGAAGGAGGCAAAGACCAGATGAGTGAGGGGACTCCTCCATCTCGCAGCATCAACTCTCAGTCTCCGGTGGACCAGGGCAGAAAACAGAAAGAACCGCTGGAGATGCAGCAAAGGTGAGAAAAGACAGACAGATGATTGCTGTAGCTGCTGCTGACAGGGGGAGTTTGTGAAAGGAGGATTGCTGGTCCTGATTTGCAGACTGGTAAACCTGCGTGATGGAAATAAATAAAAAGCCTCTGATAACCATCTCGGTGACATCTGCAGATTACGCTGTTTCCTTAACGAGCTCTTTCAGTTAATTTGATTGTAAAGCATTCAAAGCGTATCAGAAAATAGTTGTCGATACGTCTAGATACGCATGTGTATTAATAAAATGAATTGTCAGATTTTCACTCATTAATTAGATATTGTATGTTTGTTTTTTGCAGTATCAACAGGACAGTGGGTCCTGGTGGTCCATTCTTCCCTTCTTGTATACCAGGAACACTCCTCAACTCTGCCACCTACGCCCAGGCCCTCTCACAGGTCGCCACACTGAAAGGTAAATATTACTCTCATTAACTGGTAAATAGAGATGGTTCATATGATGTGAGTTTGTGCGGCTGCTACCTTCGCCAGTTCTCTGATGTAAAATACATTTTTTATGCTTTACCTTCCTGGTAAACTAAAGGTGACAAAGATCTGGTTTACAGTATTCTCACCACACATCCAACTTTTGTTATTCCTCAGGTAACGGTTTGTGCTCCTGCTGTGTTTCTGACCCCATGGGCCTGTCCTTCCTGCCACCCTACGGTTGTCAGGGCAACCGCACAGCCAGCGTGGCCGCCCTGCGCATGAAGGCCCGCGAGCACTCGGAGGCTGTGCTGCAGTCTGCCAACCTGCTCGGTGCAGCAACCGGATCCGGTGCCGGCGTGGGAGTCCTGTCTGGAGTCGGCGTGAGCGCGGCCGGGGTGGTGAGGCCCGCGGTGGGTCCCGCCATCGAGGTGCCCGGCGCTGTTGGAAGAGGAGGAGACAGTCCCAGTTCGGCCACCAAGGTCCCAGTTCTGGGCAGCAGTCCTGACAAACACCCTCACTGCTCCAAGGAACCGATGGACAAAAAGTGAGACGCTGGACACAAATGCGGATGTACTGATACTCTAAATCTGTGTGATCGTGCCTGTTATTACCACTCTACACTGCTCCTATGAGCAACTAAGCACAACTACTGGCTGACTCCAGAAACAGCCTGGAACAGACTGAAATCACAATGTATGGATGCAAACATTAAAATATTTATTTGACAGTAAATTATCTTTGTGAGAAATGCTCAATAACTGGGGCCTTGTTACCCCCCCATAAAAGCACAACTGTGGTTTTGGATCTATATCTGTCTTCATGCACTCTTGGACTCTATTTGATGGACTAACATAGGTACAACGTGTGTGCAACAAAGACGTATTTGATAATGTGAATTTAAGTAATCCTGATTCAGCTCCTCTTGTTTTCATAAAGGGGACAGATGCTTACGTTGTGAATGTTACTGCATGTAAACTGTAAGTGTAGAATCGATGGCAGGACGGCGGGGATTTTTGCAGGATTTTGGCAATATGATGTTTTTGCCATCAGGTCAGTAATGGGCTCAAACAATCGTCTCTCATTCTATTGATTTTAAAGTGAAAGTGCACTTTAATATTAATCAGCCATTTTCAGTGTAAATGTGTACATGTGCCAGAATACAGTATGTCCATGTGTGAACCCCAGGCAGGCCGAAGCAGACTCAGTGACGGAGCGGCAGTTGTCCCTTCCACTCTGTTAGCACATCTGTAGCGCCAGCAGACAGGGAACACACCAGTCCTGTTGTGACATGTTCTTTAAAACAATTAAAGATGTAGTCGCTCATGTTCCTCTCCTGTTGCCTCTCGCTCCAGCCATCTGTTCTGTTACATTATTTATCAGCTTCCCTTAAAGCCGGGAGAGGAGAGCAATCTTGACTCTTATTATTTATTTACTTTTAGGAGCGCTCACCCTCTCTCCTCCTCTCTACGAGTATTTTTTAATAAACCTCATTAAATGTGATATATGCTATTTATTAATGTTGAATTTACATTTTTTTCTAAAATCATCTCTCATCACCTCAGGGCTCTTCACAACGCAGTTTTATCACGGGCAATATAGTCGTTGATTCATTATTCCTAAAGATCTCTCCTCACTAGAATGACTCTTGAATAAAGGATCAGCTGATCAGATTGAGAATACTTAACCGCAGAGCACACAACCAGTAGTTGGGCTGATTCAATTTGCGTCCTTGAGGATTTTCAGGAAATTACTTTTGATAGTCAATAACACAATTAAGTAAACTACACACACATTATCATGAATAATTGATAAGAAATTATGTATTACCATGAAGTACTGGTTCAATAATTGATGAGGCGACACCCTGGTGACACAGAAGAGGGAGATAATGTCAGAAGTCGTGCCAGGTTGTACACAGAGTACACAGCACTCACATCCTCTTTTTTTTTCTCTCTTTTTTTTAAAAACACCATTGTGTGCGCATGTTGTAAATATCTTACATCTATACCAATAAAGTGATGCTTTTACGGACTGTGAGTTTAAGACTTCTTCAGATTTGGCAGGATTTATATTTTATTTGAGCGCCATATTTCATTGCAAAACACACATAATTTATTCACACATTTGAGACAAAATGTCAAAATTCAGAAATGACAAAGTTTCAAAATTAGATGCTTATTTTAAGGTTTTTTTTTTAGTCTCATAACACTGCACAGGCCTGGTATGTAGCAGGTACTCTGCTGGATCTATTCATACCCTAAATAATATTACTCAAAACATCATGTCCTAATAAAATGATTTCTGCTTTAAGTGCATGAGAGAGCTCCAGAGCAAAGATGTTGAGCCCAGTGACATGGCAGCTAATGATAACACAATATCCTTATACAAATCATCTCCTTCTCCAAAATGTACCAGTTTGGACAACGGAATCCAGCCAACTCATACAAAAGGCGTGAAAAACACATTCAATCTCCCCAAAATTGAATACAGTAGTTGTGGAATTTAATCATTAGCCAAAACAAAGGATGCTGAAGTTATAATGACTCCGATCATCATTAAGTTCTGCATGGTGCCCATAATTCACTGCTTTAATATTTCATAAACAAGTCAAGTTGGTGTTGACATTCAGCTGTGCATGTGGCATCATTGATAATTTTCTGTCACCTAAAAAAAGTCCCGAGGCGGTTTTGTGGAGCATTGTTATATCAAATTAGCTGGAGAGCGGCCAGAAAAGCAGACAAACATGGTGAATATGGGGGACAGCAGTTGAACTCTGTTCTTACAGTGCAGTTAATGGGCTTCTTTTGTTGCAGTAATGAAATATTTTTGCAGGGATGTGGGGAAATATGTCCTGAAACAGGGAGACGTTGTGCACATGAACCCATCCACAAACACACACAGACAATGTAAGACACAGACAGAGACAGTACGCTCAAGAAAGACTCGGCCATACATACAATTCTTTCGCTTGACATTAGGTGCAACACCCAAATTTTACTATTTGCAGACCCAGCTTCCAAAGTCATAAAGTGCATTCAGGCCTGGTCCACTGAAGGGCCGAAACACTCAAGTATCAACTCTGCTTTTAATTCCTGCAACAGAGCTGATCAATAACCCAATCAATTAGAATCAATTAAGCTCATCTCTGAATGGAGATTATACAAACAAAGCATATCTTAATGCAGCAAGTAATGTGCCTGTCTGCTGTCTGCCACATAACCACAGCTCTGCTGCTCCTTACTCAGCACAGGGAAGAGCATCCTCAGCGTTTGTGATCAATGACTACAGTCCTCAGTAGTGTCACAATAAAACTATGTTGAAACAAAGTTGAAGAGTTGCATTGTGCAAAAACCTGAGAGGTATGTATCAAAAAAATCAAAATTGCTGTACAGCGCAAGTGGGACCGGATGACTGTTCTTAGTTTGTCCACTAGAGGGGCTCAGTGAGCAGGAAACTTGTCCACACTCTCCAGGAGGGGCTTCATTTCAAACCTCACTGGAGGAATTGAGCATTTGGATAAACATGCACTGATTATTTTTGCTTTATTTAGTTTTTGCAAATGCCGTTTATCAATCAAAAACATTTTTAGGAATTGCTCAGTACCGAAAGCCCCCCAAAATAGGTAGCAAAACAAGACAATACAGCAGCAAGTTGCAAATTCTGCAAACTGATTATCTGATCTACATGGAAGAAATCTAGAGCTGGATGTTAGTGATTGACGGGAGTCCAGCGTGGAGAGGAAAATGGTGGATAAGAAGGGTGTGTGTGTGTGGGTGGAGGTTGTTTAGAAGGGAGGGAAAAGATCAGTTAAAAAACAGATTACCTCAGCCTTTCCTAAAGTTTAGTGAGCTGCATGTAAAACCATCTGTGTGTGTGTGTGTGTGTGCGCGTTAGTGTGGGCATGTGTGGAGGAGTACGTCTCCATTAAGGCCCATGTGTGTGTGTCCATCATCCCGCCAGGCCAACCCTGCACCCGCCAAGAATCCCAGGAAACTATCTGCTGCAGCAATCTCCTATTATAGCAGCGGGCCGCAGGAGGGGAGGGAGATGGAGGGGGGGCAGGGAAGGGGGAGGTACAGTTCCTCCCCTTCCTTTGCCTCATGGCCTTTTCTGCTTGGGGGGCGAGTGAGGCTGTAGTCAGGGAGATTAGACATCCATGGCTTCATGAAGTTAAATTCATGTTGAAGCGAACCTCTCGGATATGTCGCATTAGATGAAAAGTTTAACACACGACAACGCTGCTGAAACACTTTGGTCTCACAGTCAACACAAAGCTTCATTCAAGACCATTGTGATGTTGTGGGTGGTGACCAAGAGCCACTTGTTGACACTCCTTATAGTCCTTGTCAGCTCTGTTCGGCAAAGAGGGTGGCACTCCAGCGTGAGGCAATTGAGTTATTTATGTCTCTCAGAAGGGCACCCAAACTACGCTTACCCCCACCTCCCCCCCCACCCACCCACTCATCCACCCACCCTCCAACACCCACAATAATAACACATCTTCAGGAAATTAGATTTTTCTCCTGCTTCAGACACCACAGCCCTCCTCACCCAGCTGCAACATTTCCCCAGTTCACAGACGCTTAGCTGTAGCTGCTAATGCCCAACAGTAGCCGTCCAGATTTATAAATAGTTGCGAGGCTGTTTGTTTCATCCATCTGACACTCGACACCAAAGGATCTCGCAGACCCGCATGCTAGCTCGAGCCCTCACTCTGTCCCCCATGGTGGACACTCTCTCTGGGACAACTCCTCTATTTCTGTCTGGTCTCCAGCCCCGAGTCCTGCCGTCCGCCGCTGGTCAGAGACTCAAAGACCTGACTGTGGACTATGTAGAGGTTATTGCTTTGGACTGCTGTCAATAGAAGGAGCCGGAGCTGCCAGAGAGGGCTTGTGTGAGGTGACAGCGTAGGATCAGATCAGCAAGGCCTTTTTGAGGAGACGGAGCCTTCTGAGGAGTTTACAATAAAAATCATGGATTATAAAACTGGAAGGTAAGATGAGAGCTTGTTGTACATTCTTGCACATATTCTAAGAGGAAAACTTTCAAATAATACATGAAAAAACAGCAGATATACTTCTATACAAGCATGCAGTTTCGTGGAGTTTAATTTTAATAGTGGGAATTTTCTTACAGATAAATTAACGCAAAAAAATATGCCAAGATTCTCTGCTTTCATCTCCAAAACAAAACTCACATTCACTCACTGAAGGCGCTGTGCAGTGTTTAACTCCAGTGATAGAATTTTATTTTATTGCACTGACAGTCGTTGACATTTACAGACATTTCGAAGTATCATTTCTGCTTTCAGAAGTGACAGATATGCTGCTGTTAAGTCTTCCTTTGGACCTGAGTCCCTCTGAATATGAGTCCACTTCGGTGTCAGGTTTTAGAGTTGGAGGCCCGTCACTGGACAAAAATAAACCAGTCACATGCAAGAATGAACAGAAATCACCGTGACAGTTTGACATGGGATTATTATTGCAGAAAGGGGACTCTAATTAGGGACAGCTACCACAACTGTGGATGTTTTTATTGCTTATTTCTG